ATATAAATTATATTACAAATTATATTACAAATAAATGCGTATATTTGAAAAGATATGAAAGTTATGGCAGTTATAAAGAGATTATTTTTTGTCCCAAATATTTAACGCATAATCAATCATATAATAACTGACAAACCATTGAATGAGCAAAGATTTCAATATTATATTTCCATACAATTTTCAATCGCGTATTATATTTACAGAGATTTGAATTTAAAGAGCAAACAAAACACAATGTTTATATAAAACGATGTTAATTATCCTTTAATTTACATATCATATGTTTAATGAAAGAAAATGTGGCATTTATTTAGACGTTTAATAATGTGTTAGCGATTGATTGATTTGTCGAAAGTATGGTATATCAGAGAAATGAATCAAAATATTTGTTAAATCAATGCCATAAACTATTGTTCACTGATTTGTGTACATAATATAACTGATAGCCTGACAGAGAGAGAGAGAGAATAAGTGTTAAATGAATGGATTTTGATAGACATTAAAGGCACAAATAGTTATAATGACCTCCTTTTAGAGCAATTATAACTTAAGCAATGATAACATTTAATCCCTTGCGATGGTAGCGATCAAAGCGGACGATCTACTACTGAACGGCTCGCGTTCAATGCCTGGCAGTCGTCGAAACTCCAACCGGAGTAGTATTTGTTACGACACTCTCACTCAACAGCCCTCTAAGGCGTCGCTCATATCGTCGGGCGGTTCGACGGGTCGGCGATCGATGGATGAGACGACATCTCCCAAACGGGGCGCCAGTTTCCGGCTCAACACAAGACACTCCGTCACTGATCTAAACCCAGTGGACCCGTCGGTCAAAGAGCTATTGGCGCCTCAATACGATCCGCGGACCCGACGCAAGAGCTCTTCAGCGTTGGCTCAGGCGAAACTCAAACGCAGTCTTTCCCTTCGCTCCGATCAGACCAACACCAATAGTCGTAGTGATTCTGTGGGCTCCGCCTCTGACCTGCTCTGCGATACAGAAATGCAGAACCAATTGGAGCACAACCGGTGCTGCGGAGAGATTAAGCTCGGCTTCATTATGACCAAAGGCCTGCTCGAGATTGAGGTGATTTGCGCCCGCAATCTAGCCGTATGTGTGAACGGACAGCCACCCGGTATGCATTACTTACTATACTTGCTATACTTACTATTGCCAACTTTGACTAACATGTGATTGAAACGATGGTTAGACACGTATGTGAAGATATACCTGTGCGATAAGGGCCGACAACTTCACAAACGCAAGACCCGTGTCGTGCAAAACGATTGTAACCCTCAGTATAAGCAGACATTGAAATACGACGCCTCTATGATCTACGGCCGCACACTATTGGTGTCCATATGGGAGCGCCAGAAGGGCTTTGAGCACAACAATCCCATCGGCGCCACTGAAATCCATGTCAATAAATTAGAGTTACATAAACTGACTATAAAATGGTATAAATTGGATACCTTTGATAATGTCAAACAATTTTCTGATTGATTCATGTATTGCTGATAAATACGTTCAATATTTACGACAAACCCTTAAATTGATTTTTAATCTGAAAATATACTTTTTATGAATTATATATAAATTATATTACAAATTATATTACAAATAAATGCGTATATTTGAAAAGATATGAAAGTTATGGCAGTTATAAAGAGATTATTTTTTGTCCCAAATATTTAACGCATAATCAATCATATAATAAATGACAAACCATTGAATGAGCAAAGATTTTAATATTATATTTCTATACAATTTTCAATCGCGTATTATATTCACAGAGATTTGAATTTAAAGAGCAAACAAAATACAATGTTTATATAAAACGATGTTACTTATCCTTTAATTTACATATCATATGTTTAATGAAAGAAAATGTGGCATTTATTTAGACGTTTAAAATGTGTTAAAATTGATTGATTTGTCGAAAGTATGGTATATCAGAGAAATGAATCAAAATATTTGTTAAAACAATGCCATAAAGTATTGTTGACTGATTTGTGTACATAATATAACTGATAGCCTGACAGAGATTACCGGGCGTTCAGATCATAGAAGCACTTTCTTTATATGTAAATAAACTACATTCTTATTATATACTGTATTTATGTGTTTAATATTGTCAAACTCTCATTAAACTTGTGCTTATTTCCAGATTCAATATTTAAAAAGAGTTGTTATAATAACTACATTTATTTTCTATGAATAATATATACTTTATTATTTAAAAAACTATTAAATGTATTATAAACGAGAGTTGGGCTAAAAATTACATTTTATAACAAATACAAACAATGAGAAAATTAATAAACTAACTAAACATGGATTATAAAATGAAAGCTATTTTTAGTAAAAAAAACATAAAATAACTCACATTTTTAACAAATATAATGAAAGTTATTCTTGAAAAGGAAATTAAATTGAAAAGTTTATTATATATAATCGACAAAAAACTAGGTAAATAAATTAATAAACCGAAAAAAGATTAAAAATTAAAAAAGAAATAAATTATATAACCGAGCACAATTGTTAAATATAATACAGTATATGATTTTTATGCAATCTATATATTGTTATAAACCATAAATTATACGTAGATATTTTAAAAAGGTTATGATATTTATATTGGTAAAATCAAAACCATATGAATGATACAAAGTTAAATCAGTTTATTGCGTTAATCATTGAATGAATGGGTTAATATCCATCCAGGTAGTCAATAATGAACCGCCAGTTTGAAATCCGAATATCTCCTAAACCAAATGAGCTGGATCAAATCTGTAAATTGTCAAATGATGTTTCATATATCTAGTTTTATTTCAGAAAA